CTATAAAATTGGCAGAATTCACTAATTCAAATTGCCAATTCAAACAGGATGTTGAGTTTGTATTCTTACACGATACCACATTCATAATACAGACACCTCCAGATGGACTCTACAAAGTATTTATAGCTGGACACGTAGCACCAGATGACGAAGAAGAAGTCGAAGAAATCCTCACCTCAGAGAGCGAAGAAGAAGAAAATTTCCAAGACATTCAAGATTCAGAATATACCGAATAAAAACTTCATTTATACTAAACATCTTCAGGGCTAGAGGGCACGAAGTGCCTGGAAGCCCCACTACCTTTTTTTTTTTTTTTTTTTTTTGATATTATTTTTCAGAAGATTTCATTCTATATGCCTATGAAAAGTACTCTCAAAACTAACTTTTTCCTAATTATAATTAAATCTAGAATATTGTATTATGCTTAGTATTTTTTCATTTTTCTCCTTCAATTTAGAATTTACAAATGTCAAAAAATTGAGAGCTGTCACTTTTGATGAATTTCTGTTTATTACAAAGCCAATCCCTGTGGGACCCAGTGGTAACTTTCCATGGAAACCACTCAGTGGGAACATTTTTTATTTTTGACGGAAAAAATTCTAAATATTTTTTTTTCATTTTTTGATTTTTGAATTTTTTTTGGAATTAGAGAATAAAATTTAAAGCGATAGATATGCTTGATTAAAAAAAAAAAAAAAAAAAAAAAAAAAAAAGGTAGTGGGGCTTCCAGGCACTTCGTGCCTTCTAGCCCTGAAGATGTTTAGTATAAATGAAGTTTTTATTCGGAGGGCTTCCAGCCCATAAGAAATTTTTCCCAAGACCCAAGAGGAGGACCGAACCCCAGCCGACCAGCCGTTGACTTTTTTGTCAAGACTTCTTCGTAAATGTTTTGTCAAGACTTCTTCGTAATGAGCGTAAATGACCCAAAAATATATTTTATGTTAGAATGTTAGATCTAACACGTTTTCTAACATGTTTTCTAACATCGTAGAAAACTCATGATTTCTTCGTAAATGTTTTGTCGAAACTTCTTCGTAAATGTTTTGTCAAGACTTCTTCGTAAATGTTTTGTCAAGACTTCTTCGTAAATGTTTTGTCAAGACTTCTTCGTAAATGTTTTGTCAAGACTTCTTCGTAAATGTTTTGTCAAGACTTCTTCGTAATGAGCGTAAATGACCCAAAAATATATTTTATGTTAGAATGTTAGATCTAACACGTTTTCTAACATGTTTTCTAACATCGTAGAAAACTCATGATTTCTTCGTAAATGTTTTGTCGAAACTTCTTCATCGTATATGTTTTGTCAAGACTTCTTCGTAATGAGCGTAAAGGACCCAAAAATATAATTTAGGGTAGAAGGTTAGATCTAACATTCTAACATAAACATTATTTTTTGGTGTAAATTTCATGATTTTCAAGAGTTTTCTACGATGTTAGAAAACATGTTAGAAAACATGTTAGATCTAACATTCTAACATAAAATATATTTTTGGTGTAAATTTCATGAAAATTCAAGAGGGTAGAAAACTCATGATTTCTTCGTAAATGTTTTGTCATGATTTCATCGTAAATGTTTTGTCACTTTTCTGTCACTTTTCAGGAAAAAACATTTTTATTATATATATAAAATGAATTTTACAAAACCACCGTTACCCTTCTTTGGAAATAAGAGTAGATGTAAAGATATTCTATTGAGAGAACTTAAGAAACTACCGAATGGTCTAACATTTGTAGACTTGTTCGGTGGAAGTTTCTATATATCTCATTTGTGCCATACAATATTTCCTGACTCAAAGATTATATGCAATGACTTCGACAACTATATGGACCGTCTCAAACATATACCACACAAACAAAATATTGAAAGAGTTAAAAGAAAAGATACCTATAGGTAAGATGGAACGTATACCATTAGATAAGAAAAATATTGTGAGAGAGGTTTTGAAAAAGGCAGAGTATATTGACTGGGATAGTATATCTGCTAGACTATTATATAGTGGTGCTATAAGAGTTCATGACATTGAAACACTTATGTCAAAAGTTTTATATCTTAACTATACAAATGTTTTCAAAGAGAACATAGAAAAATATATTGAGGGTATAGAGTTTGTGAGATGTCATTGGACAGAGTTGTATGAAAAATATAAAGACAAGGAAAATGTTTTCTTTATAGTGGACCCGCCGTTCTATAACACATGGGATTTTCAATACCAAGTAGACTGGACTTTGAGAGACTCTTTAGAAACTTTAGACGTTTTACATAACCATCCATGCTTTTACTTTACATCCGATAAAAGTGGTTTGGAAAGTGTCATGAGATGGTTAGAGGACATACATGACTATGAGTTTAGATACGATAAGATAGAATATGAGAGAGGTCCTATAAACTGGAGAAAGTGTCATAACAAAGAAATTTTACTAGTAAGTAAATGTGGTTTGAAATAGGACTACTTGTTTTAGGTTTTTTCCATTGTGTCATTTACTTATTTGACGTGGCAGAAAGATATAGAGAATATGAAGATGAACCAATGCCTGCAAATGTTCAGTATATGTACTCGTAAGAGATATTTTTATCTAATATTAAATGGACGCACAGAACTTAGCGAATGCACAGCAACCTGGACAACCAAACCCAGAGAATATTCCAAATGAAGTTAGAATACAAACTGCAATGGCAAACTATGGTCAAGTGCCAACAGATGTACAAATGCAAACTGCCATGTCAAATGACGCTGCGTTAGGTTTGCCACCATGGTATGCAAATATGAGATGGAAAGAGTTTTATACAAACCCTGAAGTGGGATATAAACAACTCTATGCAGATGACGCGAACACAGGAGTTGACCCAGAGTATGTTTTCTACCAGAGGAGAAACAGAATGTATGAGCTCCAGTTAAAGAATGCTATGGAACTCAACAGGAAACGTAAGAGACTAGGCGGACATTAGATTTTTACATATAGTAAAATGGGTTTCTTCAGTAAGATAGGAAACTTCTTTCGAAATGTTGGAAGAGGTATATGGAATGGAATAAAAACCGTAGGAAGAGGAATTTGGAACGGAGTCAAAAATATTGGTAAAAGAGTAGGTCAGTTCGTTGGTATTATACCTAAAGACCCTGAACCAGAAGAACAAGCTCCTGTTATACAACAGCCTGAACCTGCACCACAGTCTAGTTGGCAACCAAATCCAACACCTCAACCGTATTAAAAATTATATTTTTACCGTTCGATAGTAGTTGTATATGAAACTAAGTTCTAAGTAAAACGCATGGTATAATGGAATTATTCTCTTTCTTCCATCTGTAGTAAACCATACTTGAAAGTCTGAAATACTTCCACTTGGTGGTTCATATAGCTTTGTAGGTTTTTCGTAAAAGTCATTTGCCAAGCATAAAAAGAGTTTTGTGCGCCAGAAAATGAAGCATGAACTATAATAGCATCTGAGTCGAAAACATCTTTAAATAAATATGGTTCATCTCTTGCATATCGACTGTAAATATTTGCTAAAGGAAGTTCGACTTTCTGATTTAACATTCTTTGCAAATAATACCATGACATTGCAGTGAATTCTGTATATATTTGTTCGTCTTTCTTTGGATTGTCTTCGTAGATTTGAAATGACACTTGTGAATTTTGTTTGTCATATACAATTCTCACATAAAGTGTGCTCTCGGTATTTGCATATTCATCAGCATATTTTGCATAACATGAATTTATTTTATCTTCTATATTTTTTAACGCAGTCTGTAGAGAAGATGAAAGGTCAACTTGTATTAGCTCAATTTCTTCCCACATTTTTCGTTTCCCTTCAGATATATAATCTATATGAAACCTTACAATAAATGGGAAACTTTTATCTTCTACAGACACAAATTTTATTCTACGAAAGCCAATAGCTTTTGTGACAGATGGGTCTCTTAGCCATCTCAATGGGTAGTCAAAACGATAGCCTTCATGCTTTACGGTCTCTGTCTCAAACTTTTGACCGACATTCGTAAAAAGTTCATCTAATGGTTTAGTTGTAGCAACTCTTGAATTTTCTTTTTCTATTGAAAGCATATTTTATCTAGAATAAAAATGTCGAAAGAAACAGCGTCTATGAGAGAAATACAACACAACCGACAACTCATTATGCAAGCTCTAAATAAGAACACAACAAACTTTTCAAACTATTCTAAGATATCTGAGTCATTGAAAGAAGGAAACTTAAAACTGACGATAAACCCATTGACAGATGAGTTTCTGTTTCAAGACAGTAAGAACCATACTGTCTGTGTAAATCCAACAAAAAGAACTTTAAACGAGAAACCTATAGATGAACTTCTTTTGAAAGCAGATATTGACAACAAAGCTGACAAAGAGTATGTTGACGATGAGTTAGCACGTGTGGCTAGTGCGTTAGTGAAGAAGGCAGATAAGGAATATGTGAATGAAAAAGATGAAAAAATTATAGAAAGGGTTGAATGGTACCATGAACGGACAACAAAGATTTTAAAAGGTAAAGCCGATACAGGGTGGGTTTCAGGATGTTTAGACCTTAAAGCGGATAAGAACCATACACATACCATTGCAAATATTACAAACTTACAAGAAACCTTAAACAGGAAAAGTGACGTTGGACATACACATACCATTGCAAATATTACAAACTTACAAGAAACCTTAAACAGGAAAAGTGACGTTGGACATACACATAGCTTCTTCGCAACTGTTGGTATAGAAAATATTGAAGGAACGGTTGAAGAAACTGGTGGGGATGTATTAAATTGGAAACCTCCTAACTTTCCACAAGGTTTAACATCGGAGGATGACATAACAACGATGAAAGACATTAGATGTAGAGATGTTTATGTCATGGAGGATGAACATAATATTAAATTCACTGCTCAAGATTTATATGACAAGAAAGCAGACAAAAAAGAGCTTCAAACATTAAAGACAGAAATACTTCAAACCATTTACCCGGTTGGTTCTATTTATACGTCAATGAACTCTACCAGACCAGAAGTAGTACTTGGTTTTGGAACTTGGACTCAAATACTCGAAAGTTTTTTGTATTGTGCACACACTCCAAAGAAAACAGGTGGAAGTAAAACGATATCTGTCGACAACTTGCCACCACATAGTCATTCTGGTACAACAAACTTTTCTGGCGACCATAGCCACTCATTAAGAGACCACCCATTATACAACTCAGAGTATGAAGCTGGCTATGACGTTTTATCTCCAGATTATAACCATTCAGCAAAAAAGACTTTTCGACAAACTGAACCAGGAGGAAACCACCAACATACTTTTACAACAACATCTACAGGACTAGGTAAAAAATACATGCCACCTTACATGACAGTTTGTGCATGGTATAGAATTGCTTAGTCGTCATTTTCAACTTCTTTAGCATATTCGTCAGGAGTTGTCTTATATTTGTTTGGAACTGTCTTTGAAAGTATACCACCTTGAACCTTAACAAGTTTGAAACGAGGTCTGACAATAGTAGTTTTATCTTCTGCTTGCAGTCTGTACATTTTGCCATGTTTGCCTAAAACTTCATAATATTCTCTTGTATACTTTCTTCTATTTTTACGAACACGAATGTGAGTACCTGTCGAGTTCCCATTGTTGTCATAGTCAATAGTATTTTCATATGGGTCGCGTTTAGGTATTTCTATTTTTACTTTGTCACCTTTCTTAAGTTTGAAGCCTGGCATTCTTTCTTGTTTGTCTCTTTTGACTAAACTATTAAATATATAGTCTTTCTCTAAGTCGGGGTTGTTTTTCATTTCTTCGGGGGAGTGGTTTCCCAAACCTTTTTGTTTACGGCTATTGTAAATATTTAAAACTTGTCTCATCTTTGCCATGGAGAAGTGTCTATACTTGTCGTCATATGACATTTCATTTGCTTCACCACCTTGTGGTTGGTTTAAGTCTCTTAAGATTTTTATACAACTGTCAATGACACCAAGAGCAGAATGGTTTTGGTCGACAATGAAATATTGGTTTACATTTTTTGAACGCAGATAGTTTTTAATATCGTCTGATTTGAAAGAACTTTCACAGTCAGATGTCAGTTTTGTTGGATGGTATTTGTCAACGAATATTGTCAAAGCAGTTTTCACATCTAAAATATTTTTGGACCATAATGGTATGGCTTCACAGTATCTTGTGTTTTGACCGACAAATATTAGCCAGTATGGAGGTCCATCTTCTCTATACCTCGGAATGTTTTCCAAGATATCCATAAACCAAGCATTTGGTGTTGAACTAAAGATTTTTATCATGAGTGCTTTCTTTGTTGCCTTAGAAACATAGGGGTCCTTGTTTGGATTCGTCATTTTTATCCTATAAGAAATGGGTTTATTTGGCGCATTAGCAGGAGTTGCATCCAGATTTTTACCCGCAGTGGGAACAATAGCCAGAGGTGTATTTGGAGTTGGAAGGAAGATTTTGAGTACATTAGGTATACTTAAAGAGAAAGCACAACCTATTATACAAACTGTACAGAAAGGTTGGGATGTAGCACGAGATGCAGCAAATCTTATTCCAAATCCTGAAACAAGAGGAAAAGTTCAAGGATGGATGGACAATGTAGGAAGACAAGCAGGAAACTACTATAACAAAGCAAATGACTACTATAACCAAGCAGGACACTATATGGACCAAGGTGAAAGATTCTTTAACAGAGGATATAACCATGCACAACAATGGGTAAACAATAACCAACCGCAACCACCTCAAACGTGGGGAATGTAAAGTTTTTTACTGAGATGAAATGAACAATACAGCATTGAGACAAATGGGTTCAAGATGGATTTGTCGACTTCCAGCAGTTACACAACGTGTTTGTCAAGTTCTTCCTATACCTCAGGAAGTTTTAGACCGACTTAAAAAACAACAACAACCAGTTGAAAACAAACCAAACTAAAATTTTTTACTGAGATGAAATGACCGAAGAAGTTGAAACGGTAGATTTGACACCACAAACAAAAAGTTCAGAACCATTGTCAAAACCTGTCAAAGAACTTACAGATGAAGAGAAAAATTCAATAATAGAAAGTGCCAGGTCTGGAAATACAAACCCTAACTATAAAGTCACTTTTCATAGAAATGGAACGGCTAGTATCTCAAAAAAGAAACAGACTCTCACAAATAAAATATTGAAGTCTGAAGGAGCTTTCGAGACAACAGATGGAAAAGTTTACTTCACTGACCAACAGTTCATTATAGAACATCTCATTGACTTAGAGTCGAAATATTCTAAACTTTACAACAAACACAAAAAGTTGAAAGGAAAACAAAAACAAATGGCATATGATATTTATGAAGATACTAACGACACAACCATACCTGCAAGTGAGGTAAGGTCAAATGAACCGAAAAGTGACGAAAAACCAATAGAAGAAGGTGAGCCAAAAACTGAAGAAAAACCAAAACCAAAGTTTAGTCTCCAGACTAAACCAAGCCAACCTTCATTAGCTGGTATGGGTTGGCGTCAAAGACTTTTGGCAGCCGGTGGTTACGTAAAGTAAAAAAAACATTTTTTTATTTTTATAGAAATGCCCCCGTATAGAATAGATAGAAAATCTGCTAGAATAAAAGCAGAGTTAGAAAGATATGGCTGGAGAGTTTCAAAGAAGTTTAAATATAGGAAGGGAAGACCCATAAAAGTCTATGACAAACTATCTGGTCTTCGCTATGAAATGGACTTAGAAACAGCACGCGCAAATTATCCAAACAGACTTGAGAGGTTAGAAGAAGAACGGCTTATGGACATGCCTTTCAATGTTAATGAACCTCAAGTTGAAGGACACGACGGCTTTGCCAGATTTTACTGGAAACATGACGAACAATTGCATCCTTTGAGGAGGAAAAAAGGAAAAGGTGAAGACGCACATGCCCCCATGGAAAGAACAAGATATGCATATGAGAAGTACCGTGAAGTTAGAAGTCAAATTACATCTGGTCGAACCTTTACAGTAAACTTTGACGAAGGAAAGAACAAAGAAGGCTTCATGGGTGTACTTGCTGCCATACAAGACGGAAATAAGAAAGGATACAATCTCAGACTAACCGTAACAGATTTGGACGGTCACATTTACTATGCACATGGCAATGTCACAACAGCCGCACAACTTCTTGACGCTTTCAAGACTACAAAGAGAGAACAAATGGTTGACTCCGACTCAGATATTTTGAATGCAATTGAAGGAATTGTAAGCGTGAAGTTCGAATGGTATCAACCTAACCCTCAAGCAGTCAGACAACATGCTGGATACTTCCCGTTCAGAAATAAGTCTGACATTGACTTGACAAGGTATGGAATTTACAATTCAATTGAAAAAATTGTCAACGAACCTTGCATTCTTACATGTCTCAGGAACTCTGGTCTTGTTACAGATGAGAAGATGAAGTATCTTGAGTCATGTGTGAAGACAAGGTACATTCTCAGAGGTCAATTGACAAAGATTGCACCGTTGGCAAATGTGAATATCCGAGTCAACATACCTACAGCTAAAGGTTCTTCACATGACGACTATGTTGTTGACAAAGACTTACCATGGTTGAAGATTGTACTTGTCCACAACCACTTCATGTTGAACGAAAGTCTTATGTTCGGAAAAGGCAAGTGCAACATTGTCAGAGCTGTTAACATTCTTTTCGAGAAAGGTTTGTTGGAACCGATTCCAGATGACAAGCTGACAGAAAGTTTTGTACCAAAAGACGAAACAAACTTTTCACTGTTAGCAAGACCAAAAGTTGTTCCAGACAAAGTTCTAGTACAAAAGAAGTACACAGTTCCAAAAGGAGTTGGATTGTTCGGATACCAACCTGAACCAGAAGAACTTCCAATGAGGTTGCAAGAACTTCAAGATGCTATAAACAAACTCCCATTGAGACATCCAATCGACGTCAAATTGTATTGGAGAGCATCAGAGTTAGGTCAGAAGGTTTTATATGAAACAGGTTGCTTCGACGATGTTTATGAGATAACAGGAGAAGTTTCTCAGAAGATAAGAGACTCGCTTGAATTTCCAAAAACTGGTCCGATTGGATGCGATAAGTTCGACTCAGATGAAAAAATATACTATGTCGACCTTAACGCCGCATACATGAGGTTCGTCCAATATATCCCGACTGGAATTCCAAACGAAGATGGTGAGTTCCCAGGAAGGAACTATACAGTTGGAAAAGTCATACAACAACTGTATGATATTAGGAAAGCTTCAAACCCCAAACTTGCAATGACATTAAAATTGCTTATGAATTCGACATGGGGGTATTCCATTAAAAAACCTCAAGAGATGAAGAGTAAACATTATGAGAAGGTCGACAACTTTGTTGAAAGGTTCTCCCCTTTTGTTTTGAAATACGAATTTACTCAAGGTCAAAGTGGCTTAGTAACCACAGTAAAACCTATTGTCGAACATTGGTCTTACCCTCAGTTCGCAAAAGCAGTCCTTGACGAGTACAACAAATTCTTCTCCGAAGTCAAATCCAAAGTTGTGGTTTACTATGAGAACATCGACGCACTCATGACGAACGAAGAAGGCTATAACAAACTCATTGAAATGGGAATGGTTGGTGAAAAGATGGGCTGTTTTAAGCTAGACAAGGTATTTTCCGAAGTTCATGTCCTCTCCAAGCGTAAGTACTGGGGTGTACTTGAAGACGGGACAGAAATAAAACATTGCATGAAATAAAAAATTGCATACCATTTTAAAACGTTTTTAAAACAGTATATTTTTACATATATTAAATGTTTCAGGTTGAAAAACAAAGAACAAAAGTAGCAGATACAAAACCGTTAGACTATATCTTTACAAACGCCGGTAGGACTATATCAGATGAAGAAATTTCATCCGGCTCCTACCGCTTTGACTATCCAATTCGTTGGCTTCAAAGTCCTTCAGATGCAAAGGCAATAGGATTTAGAAGAGTTTTGTTTTCAAATAGAACTAACGCATTTATGTTCGCAGTATATTTTCATGGGCAGTATAAAGATTCTGATGGTCTAATAGACAAATTTGACGAAATGAGAATCTTTACAATTCGTTCAGACGAAAACCTTGAGAAGACTCTAAATGACTTTCAAACT